TCAACCAACCCGCACTTGGCCAGCGTGGTTGACTATGGCCTAGTCACTCTAACTTTAGGGTAGGCTCCGAGCCCCTCGGTGGGGACGTATATTGAGCTGGTGATGATGACCCAAAATCCCTGATCCCAGCTCGGCAGGGGTACCAGAGGGCGGTATAGTAACGCCCATTAAAAAAACACATCAGCTATTGTAAATGTTTATAGGCAGCGTTAGTTTCTCTACATCGAAGAATTCAGATGGCCGTTTGCTTCTGATATAAAAAAAATGTTGACTACATTCAAATAATACTAAATTTAACAACTAAAGATAAGATTAACAAAGTGTAGATAAATTTTAGATTATTTTACAGGACATCGGTAGTTTTTATCAATAATGTACCTAAAAGTGACAATTATATAAAAAATCTGGTAAATGATTATATTTTAATTAGATAAAATATTTAGTTACTTTAATGTCTGCCTTGAAATCTATACTAATATAATAAAGCGTAAACACACTACTTTGTGGCGTAGGATGACAGCAATCACAGCATATTTGTGAATAATTCTTTCTTTAATAAAAAGCCCTACACTTACGATATGCTTAAGGCTTATTTTCACGCCATTAAACTTAGGGGGTCAATAAATCGGGAAAAAATCTTGTGAGAAAAGGACCATAAATTACAAGCTGCCAACATCAAGGAAGCAAAGTTGTCATTTGTGCATTTAAATTTTGTCATTTTACAAAAGTAAAAAAATTAAAATAAAAAAAAAACATTGTAATTTCGTGTAGATGAAGCCGCACGGGAACAGCTAGTAAAGAATAAAAAAGTACGTATTTAAACACCAAACTAAACAACTTTCCCTTTTTTTCATCTTAGCTAAGTTAAATCTTATTTTCGGAAACCCTTAAACTCTTTACGCTTGAATTCTCTACTTTCGCGATTCGGTTCTTCTTAACCGAAAATCTTTACAATAAATCAAACCTTACTTTTTGAAGATCTTGAAGTTTAGAGATAAAATTATTAATAAAAAAAATTTTGGTCTCGTACATTTTTTATTGATTTTATAATGTCATATAATTTAGTATAATCTATACTAGTATTACAAATTATTAAAAAAATGTATTTTGAATCTATTGAAATAACTCAATAACTAATGGGTTTATTTCAAAAATTCGTTCACCATTATAAAGCAAAATTATCTGTGAGTAACATAGGCTATAATTTTTTTCAATTTCACGCGGGCGAAGTCGCGAGTAACAGCTAGTGTCCAATATATTCTAGAATAATTTGTATAATAATATAGTCTATATTAATCTCCTAGACTTATTGATTTTATAATATGTTTCTTTGACAACATAGTCTGGCCAATTTACCTTAAGAACAGCGTAAGCGGAACAATAGGAGATGCGACGTTAGTTGACATCCTTTGTTGTGTCATAAGCCGGTGCCATTGGAATAAAGACATTTCACTTTTCTCAACAAAACAAATAACAAAGACTTTTGTAAAGAAAATCACGTTATAGATATACTAAAAGCTTAGATAGCATTAGTTCAATAACTAAGATTTTATTTACTTATCCAATCAAAATGACATTAATAATGTTTCAATTAAAACCGTGTGTTAGAACTGAACATCTCCAAGAAGAGCAGTTTTTTTTTTAAATAATAATAGCATGAATCTATGCGTGCGAAATTAAAAACAAACTACTAATAACTATAGATTCCACACTGATAATAGATTTCTAATGGCGTAAGAAAATCGGTTCTGTTGTTTCCGAGTCTTTTCAATGAAAACAAAAAATCAAATATTTCTGTTTATAATCACACTTCTTACTAATATTATAAATCCTGTATAATTTGTAGCCTAAACTGCTAAATAGATGTCGATGGAATTTAGCACAGAATTAAAACATCTGGAAGAACACACACTTACTTTTTTTTTATTTCCGTGCAGACAAAATCTCGGACGTAAGCTAGTATAATTTAAAAGCATCGCGTAACCCTTGTTCTAAAAGGCCATTGTCTCCAAGGAGTTACAACGGTAACTAAATTTATCCGTTCCATTTTTGTTTTGCTGTTATACGCCTCTAAGGTATCATGTTTACCGCTACACCATAAAGAGAT